GGACAGATACTGCAAAGATGTAGATTACTGTCGATTGGCCAGTGCTATATTTCTTACGGACTGGAAGAATTTTATTGGCTTGGCGAACTACTTGCGCAAATATAGTGCGAAAGACGCATACATAATGCGGCTACTCACTAATCCTCAAGCTAAGGGGTTGCCAAATGTTCGACGAGAGTGGCTGAGGTAGCGACCCTCGCTACTGTGAAAGATAAGAGGTCCATTCTGGCTCGTTCGTATCCGGGTCTGACATTCAATATCGTTTGTGACATGCCATCGACAATGTTTCACTCCAAGTCGACAACAATGGAATGAACACGCATTTCTTTTAGTTGCAACAACTTAACCAGTAGGGAAAAATCACATAGTATACGCCGGGGCGATAAATTCAGAAGAGTATTTTCTGGGAGGATGCATCTGCTTGGCAATCTCTAGGGATACACTGTCGCAGGTTTTAGTCTCGAAAGAAGAATTCCTAGTTAAGTCAAGTCATCAGCTTGCGTTGATTACGTCCCGCCCTTGGTACACACCGCTCGTCGCACCTACCGATTGAATGACTTGGTGAAAAATTGGGACTGTGGGCATTCTACATGCCAGAATTATATACGCTGTAATGAGGAATGCTCACCAATGCATCCGCTACTTCCAAGATTACCCAAAAACTTAACCAACGCAAATACACTCTTCTATATTTATCTGTTCTATTTGCCGCTGAGCCGCCGATATTTAAAGTCCTCCTAACTATATAATAAAACCTAATTAATATGCATAACTACTGGCAGTCTTGCCAATAGTGGCTTCTTGCTACGATGTAGCCACACTTTTGTGTGGTTACACCGACTAGTGTAATTGACACCTTTGTACGGTCACACCATATTGTGCGTCCCACCCTTTACACAAGGGTACGTGTAACCCCGTTGCACTCTGAGTAATTGTAACCCGTTAGACTCTGGGTACGAGTAACCCCTTTTAAAAACGATCATATGTAGTTAACAACGTTCTCCTTAAGTACGAGGAATAGTGATTGATTTTAAATTGCGGTTTCCAAAATGTATCCTGGATGTAGCGTTTGATCACAGCTGAACGGAGAAGTATCGTATGCCAAGCCGATGCAGAAAGGCTTTGTCAGGTCACATTTTCGATTGGCTTATATAAGATACTTCATTCTTGTCACAGGAAAGTGAATCTGATAAGTCAGCACATACCCAATGAAGAACGTGGGGAAGTCATGAGTGTCGTAAAGCTCCCAACCTTCCGTCAGGCAAACAGTCTGATCGAGCTTCAAGATTTATATAAGAGGTGTCTTTAAGAATCACAAGATGGTGAAGCTATCGAAATGGTACAATTGAGACCCGAGGCAGAGCTGATCTCATTATCAGTCATAGGTGTGTCGCCCATACGGAAATTGCAGAGAAATGATTATGAAAAGTTCAATAATGCTCACAAGGTTCCAGCTGCAATTATATTCTATTATTAAGTGAACAAGACGTGGTATAGAGAGACTCACAAGACTGCTTGTCATCAGATGGGCGATATGTCATGTACATGACCCGAATTTTGAATGTCACACACTCTAGCCCTTACAAAAGGAATAACGAGATGTCAAAGACGATATTTTCATGCGAAGCCTCAACCAGGTCTCGTGAGAGAGTAAATTTTCAAATTTCACTTTTGAGTGGAGGAGGCAACGCTCAAATGTTTTGTAATGCCAATTATACCGAAGATTTAAATATCCGCAACACCGCGAAGCTTTCAATCAGCCAAAAGATCTTCAATGCGCGCTCTGAGATTTCACATTCACAGCACTTCATGTGACCCCTAAGATACAGGAGTATGTACATCGCATAAAATGCGACACCAGCCGCTTCCTTAAAAACGGTAAGATGACTGTCGAAGGTTTTGGTGAAAGTCGCACCCGTTTGAATACCCTTTGGATAATAATAGTTGCTACTGCCTTCCCGACAGATGGAGATAAGCTTGTTAAGCTAGTCTATTCGTCTCGAAGACAGGCACTCAAGCATTTCATGTTCCATCCTCGCAGAGGATCCAGTTCTTTATCGACTCAGTTATGGGATTGACGAAATGTGCTTCCAAGCGCAACGGTATTGCCCTAACTTGCACAGAGAAAGCTGTATTTCTAGGAGTCCGCGTTAGCAAATGCACAAAGGTTGGATTCTTGCGCTCCTATTAGGATGGCTTCAACCGGTATCAGTCTAAGTTGCTCGTCTAATTTCAAAGTATATATGTTTGTGAATAATGCTACTAAACCAATAGTACAACACAAACAGTATACGATGTATTGCCTTTAAAGATAAAGCTGTCTTTCTGGCTAGTTCTTTTTGGGCATCCTTGATAAAGCCTCCTTTCCGACCATAGTTCAAACATAGAAAGTTTCGATCAAGCACAAAGGTTGAGATGAGTATGTTTTTAACCATAGTGAAAATGAGCTGCATGGTGAAGCGTCTTCGATCGTTAGTATAATATGGCGAGCATGCGAAGACTCATAGGACTTTTGCTTCTGTCTGGCCCACAGTTTTCAAACGAGATGAACTCCGGCGCAAAGATCCATTTTTTTCTATATGAACCATATATCCGATGTGAAATTAACTTGACTGATGATGTAACGGGGTTACACGTACCCTAGTATAAAAGTTTGTGTCACACAAAATGGTGTGACCGTACAAAGGTGTGAATTACACAAGTTGGTGTAATCACACAATGATGTGGCTACACCGAAACAAGAAACCACTACGTGGCGGGACTGTCAGTGTTTATGCACATTGATTAGGTTCGACTATTTAATCAGGAAAACCTAAGATTTTAGATTTAGGCGGCTCTGCCGCAAATAGAACAAATAAATACAAATTTAATTTTGAACGGAAGGGTGTATTTGCGTTGGTTAAGCTTTTGGGTACTCTTAGAGGTAGCAGATTGCGATTCGCTACACTCGTACTGGTTCTTGTATAATATGTAAGGTCGGTGACCTTAGTAAGCTTTCTTTTAAGCATAGAGCTACGCCGTCCCGCGCAGATGACTTGCCAAGAAAATAAAAAAAGACCTTCAGCCACCATAAATTAGTCTTCGCCAATTCTTTAAGAGCGCACTATACACATGTGTTGTGCAAACGGTTGCCCTTCATGTGGCAAAAATGTAATCACTAAAGGCCTCGATGAGGAGAGGATCACTTGGTAAGCATTAAGCAGACTGCTTGCTTCATATGAACAATTTAGCCATGACGCGGTGATTGTCGTTTTGAAGGTGTTGTAGCAGAGCACTAGTTGGCTAGGACGCTTTTGCGCACAATAATCACGTCTTGTCCTGATGCAGCAAAATCGACCTTTTGAATCTAAGCAGGGAAACAACTTGCTCAATTACCGTCAGATCAATTGCCTGACTGCTTTGTTGAACGAAGGTGCTGTATGCACAACCTGAGACTGTATAATAGAATTTAACTTCACCAAATGCCTGCTAGTTCCACTAGCTACATCTCGTAAAATCTTGTACGAGTGCTACTAGCAATAATCTGTCATCAAGAGCAGTACAAACTAAAACACATGACAATCTGGGTACGGTAAAACCCCGTTTCATCAATTTATCGTGTTTATCGTTCTGGTTTAGCTCTATAATGAAAGACTGAGTTTTCTGCAACGAAATCCTTATGGGCAATGTATCGTCAATTTTGCCGGGATGGACGATAGCCGTATAATATTGTCGTTATAACCGAGAATTGGATGCACTTCCATACGAAAGCCTTAGCTAAATGTCTCTGTCCATTAAACGCTCAGCCTGCCAAAAAAGTTAGAAATTTACTGCTATTCGGATTCAGAAATTGGTATAGAGGTGTAAGATGGAGAAAAGCTACCGCTAAATCAGCCCCCGTTAGCTCCAGTGACCTATCATCCCCTATCCACGCAACACCATTCATTTCAAGTTATAGATTCAGCAGACTAACCGGGCATAGTGATTTTTGTGAATATATGCTGTTCTGCTCGCACCTAAAGTGTTTCCCAACTTATATCTACAAAAATGTAATGCGAAAACCGTATGATTTAAATTTAGAGAACGTTTTAATCTTCATGGAATGAATTTGCTGGGATTACGAGACCTATTCGCGTGCTATGTCCTCACGGCTGGCGCACGAGAACGTGCAACGTCAGACCTCTGCTCTACGTCACGCATTTGGTACAAAGGCTGAGCTGTTGTATCTCGATGCGCCATGGGCCGCCTCGGGCCCTGCACCGGAGCTGGTGCGCTCGTTTTATGGCAAGACGG